AAGGTGCGACGTGCTCCTTGTGTGCTCGGGATGGCAGTCGTGAGTCAGTCAAATGGTCAAGTTCGCCAAGAAGCGTGTGTTCCTCGTTGGAACAACCATTTTCATGACTTATTCCGCGAAAGTCGCAACTAACTTCTAAGTTCGTATCAGTTACTTACCCGTATATTCATTATTGCACTATCTAGTGTTTTGTTGCCAAAGCAGGACCGAGCATCCAAACCGACATGGCTGCTTTAGGGCACAGCACACCATCAAACTGTGCGTGTGTGTATAATCATACTCGCGAGGTTATTAAGCCTGAGATACTTCAATTTTTTTCAATGTCCATCACAGATGGGGCGCTATTCAAGAGAGGGTACAGTTATTTTCAATGCTGGCACACAACATAAAAACAACGACAGCAAAAAAATGAGCCTACAGCTTACTGTAAACTATCACGAATCAACAGAAACGGCAATAAGACCTGGGACTCTGATCCCGAAACCACCAGTGCAATGACATGGACAAGAACATTAGCAAAAGAGCACCAAACTTGCACAAGCGCTTGGTTGCCAGCCTGGGGGTGGGGCACTATTCAAGACAGGACTGTACTTTTTCAGTGGCTCTTAGAGACTGGGGCACTATTAGAGATAGGGCACTATTAGAGATAGGGCACTATTAGAGATAGGGCACTATTAGAGATAGGGCACTATTAGAGATAGGGCACTATTGAAGAGTGGGCTCTAATCTCGCGAGTGTGGGTATACCGTAATTCAAAATGAGACAACGACATGGGTAACCGTATTGATCCTTGTGCTACATAGCGCATACTCCAAGTTTGTAATCTAACTTAAATTAAACAGAAATTAGAATGCACAACGACCTATATAATTTTACATGTACACTATAGTCATGCTTATGTGAAATGTCCTCCTTTCCATGCAATTTCTTTTAGTGCTGGGATCCGTAACCTGCCAAGACAATGACCACATTCCTCATAAATTCTCAATACCTTCCTCGATTTCCCAGCCTCAAACAACATCGCTGATGGAGCTGAAGAACCAACATCTTTACACTAACAACAAATGGAAATTCAAACTGGAATGCTCTCTTGTCGTACGTAAAGTAGTTTTCCGCATGAATGGCACATGCGCATTCCGCCTGGTTGGATACAGGATCCATTATGTAAACAATTCTTTCACACCTTCAGTACACCTACTCATGAAGTCAGACATCGTTAATCGGACAACAAATGGCTTACAACAAGAGGAATTTCATTTTCATGATTTGCTCATGAAGGAGTGCAACTGCAGCCAAAGTCAAGGCACAGCCATTGAAATCGGCATTCTCAGTGAATCCAAGGAGCAATGTGACGTTGAAGCTGCACCTGAGTCAGGGTATCAGCATGAATTCACCAGTGGAGCGAATCTCTGCTACCATTCACCTCCTCAACAGCTCTTCCACAATACGATTCCATATGGAATTCTGCACATCACGAGTAAGCTTTGATTGGCTGTTGAAACATATCATAATTATATATTCACTATGAATTCACATGGATGCAGTGAATGGGATTTTCGGTCTTTGACCACTTGCTGGTGAGCTGATCTACTCACCTCCCACCGCTTTAGGAGCTGCATCTGCACCTTGATCCTTGAAGGGTGGTGGCGTTCCTACGAATGCGGAAAACCTGGCTTCCAGCCTAGTCTCACGCGAACCGTGAAATTTTTTATGAATTCACTGATGGAGCAAATTTCTGCTACCATTCACCTCCTAAATTGATCTTCCATCAACTAATGCCTTATGTACATCTGCATATCATAGGTAAGCTTCGTTTGCCTGTTGAAAACTACTTTCACTGCTGTTGTTGATACTGATGTATATTATAATTTATTTGTTCTGGATTCCCCAGACACTGGAAGGACTGTCGAGGGGGTCTCCATATCAGCATAAAAAACTGGATTGACGTACTGGTATTGGTCATTGTGGTAGTGGTAGCTAGGTGGCAGTCGAAGCGGCGGCGTTAGTTGTGGGTTGAGCCTCGTGACAAATTGACAATACGTCTAAATAAAAATTTAAAGGGCAAAGCAACACACCACCCAACTTGGACCGCACGGTAAAAGTTTTACCCCAGGTCTCCTCATTGTCCTGTAACAGTCGACATGTTTTGTATCGGTCGGACAAAGCTTGTGCACATTTTCGCTGTGCTCACTTTCCCTTCAAAGGTCCACAATAACCTTGAACCTACCAAGCAGAAAGGCTGTTGGTTTGCGGACAGGAGATGTGTAAGGGTTTAAATGTCCGGTCAATGGGAGGTTTTGCTCTACGTGAATACGAACATGTGACCAGTGCTCTGCGAAAACCGACCTTTAATAGGTGCTATTTTGGCGAAATTGAGTTTGTGCTGGATTGTTGACCCATGACCCTTTCTTCAACTTCTGGTGAAGTTTTAGGTGGATTGCATTCATATTCAGTTAGATACAATGACAATTTCTTTGCACCTTTCCTGCACTTTTTGGAGGAAAAATAGCAAAAATCCAGGATTTTATGCTACATTTTGGAACCAATGCTGTGAGAATTCCAGCAGCATGATTGCAACCAAACTTTGCAGAATAAATCTGTATGTCATAATCTTCAAAAGGAAAGGTTTATGATGGCATTGGATCTGCCTGTTGTGGAGATAGACACATTCTATCTCTGTTCTGTGGATGGTGTTGCTCACGAATCTGGTGGAAGAGGTATTTGGCTCTGTTTGAGGATATGCCAGCCGGAGTGATGCGTAGAGGCAGGTGCAAAGTAGTGACGAAGCTAGGATCAATGCCGGGTCAAAGGATATTGATAGTTTTATCTGGTACTGGTAGTTAGAACATCTAGTTATGTCTACATCTGCCGCACACATTGTTTCGTAATCGGTGATATCATGGCAGTCTCTTTTCCAAATCTTGCCAAACGTACTGTATGCAGCTTTGCCACCAGGCTTTGTGAACGCCTGGTGAACAAGCTTCTTCGTAGTGATACTGGGCAAATACATGTAGGCTGGTACTGGCTTGTTGTGCCCATGTGGATCTGCAGATTAAGGGAGGCCATGAACTATAGCATAATACTAGCATAGCATAATGCTCTATAAAATTCTTCAGCTCCACAACATCTTCCACAGGCGGTGCTTTCCAGAGTTCTGTGTTGGGCTGATTTCACTTGCACTGACAGCAGCCTGTAGATTTCAGCACCCAGGGCTTGATCCTGGAGGCACACACAAAGACTTCCTGACATGCATGTACATGACTTCCACACCAGCCACTGACTGTACTTCAGTAGTTCAGAGTAGTATTGTTGAGCCCCATCTATCACATCTCCCAGCATGCTGGACGCGCTGGGTAGCCTCACCACGTCTCTGAGCACGTCTAGCTTTCCGGCTACACACAAGCAGCGATCTGTCTTGATCAGGACTTGCGCTGTGTGTGCTGTAAGTGTCAGCAAGGTTTCAAGTGTCACGCTCTTGAAACAGCACCAGTGCGGAACACCTACAGCGCTTGTCAAACTTGTCACGCGCCTCCTGGATTGTAGACAGTACTTGAACCGATTTTTCTTGGTCTAGACTCTGTATATAGCCGACATTGAGGGGCTGGGCTGGTGGCAGAACCGACGCCTGATCGAAATTCTCCTCCGCATCACCGTCCAGCTCGATCAGCGTTACGTCTTGCGATTCCACATCCGACTCTCCTCGGCACTGCTGTCATCAGAACTGCGATTGGACCAGGCCAAAAAAATGACTATTCATCGTGAAGGAGTTCGGCTAAAACCCCTGGGGAGAAGCCCACAGCAATTTGAGCTAGCGACCGTCTTCTGCTTTGTTCCGCCATGACTCTCACCTTGTAATCTTCAAAAATCGACAGATCGTGACGTTTTGTTCTTTTTCTCGAAAAAATTACGAAGCACCTAAGGTCGGTTTTCGCAGAGCGCGGGTCATGTATGAAAATCCGTATATCGTAGGAGCGAGGTTAACTTTCATAGGTAAATCTCTCTACGGATTTTTGTAGGAAAGCTCTTTCCTACGTTGGGTCCTCTGTGGGTCTTTTTGAAATATTTTCCGCATATCATTGATATATCCATGGCAACGTTCAAGCCGCGCGCGGGACACAAGGTGCACATACCGTGCACCACATGCAAAATAAAATGGAAAATGCGGTTTCGGTTCGTGGTGGATGCGGTGGGCACATGCAGCCAACGTGGCTTCAAAGTAACAAGGCATGTTTAGCGATCATGGGGAGATCACGTAGAGCGAAATCCTATAGCGTTGATTTTTCCGTATGAAAACGTTATTTCCATACGTAATTTTGTAGAGCAAAAACTCCCTATCGAATGTCACAGTAATCCGTCAGTTTTGCGTTTAGTTATCCCAACTTCTTACTGCTTTGAAATATTTTTTTACAGTAGTGGACAGTAGGGACCTTTCGTACCACGCGTACGGATACGAAACGAATGCTGATTCGTCACCTGGGCTCGAGGATTCGTCAGAGTCCCTGCGGAGAGGTCGTTTTCACGAATGGAAGCCTCTTCATTCGTGGCGCGCTCCGAATCCTTGAGGTACACATTTATTGGTCCAGGTGTACATGTTTTGCCAGGTGCACATTTTTTCCCTTGATTCCATGATCCATGCACGTGTGCATGTCAACACCCGTACGGCCGTATTCGTAGTTGCCATGCATATTTGCATGACGACTTGCGAAACCTGAATCTATTGTTCAACGAAACGATTACGAGCCGAATCAAACTTTCGTTTCGCATTCGATTCGTAGCAAATGCGAAAGGTCCCTAGTGACTCATAACTCTTACCAATGCGTCCTGCCTTACTTTTACATGTCAAAACTTTTCAATACTTTGCGATGATGATGACTGCAAACTCGTTTGTTTGCTTTCCTTTTGTAGCTCAAGATCCATGCACGACTGGTCCGCAGTGCACTACGTCCTGCACGTCTCAGAAGAAATTGTGCGACGCTGGCTTTACTACGCACCCATGCGTCATGGTAACCCAATGTGATGACCTGTCCCACCTGCCGACTAACCCGAGCAACACCTGTTATGCTAGACACGGGCCTGCAACAATCACATCCACCTCGAGCACCACAACTATGACACAAACATCGGCAACTACCACCAGGAGCATGGGTGGTGATTCATCTGATATACTGACCAGTCATCAGATCATAACCATTATCAATGGAACCGGACATGTTGTCACCCCATCTGCAGTCCCATCAGCGCCATGGTCTGCGGCATCTAACCCTCCATCTACCTCAAGCAACATGGCTACATCGCAGAATGAAATGTTAACCACTGATTCAGGCAATGTACAAGGGACAGGTATGCAGCACAAGCACGTAATAACTGGTGGTGGTGCACTGCCAGTTGGCGATCACAACTCACCTACAGTTCATACCAACTTTTCGACTGTACAAACATCGTCCGATATCTCTCAGTTCCAATCTTCTTCTATCATGGCCTTGGGACCTAACCAACGTAAGGTCCAATCTCAGTCGCAAAGTGGTGAAAACACAGTGTCCGCAACTGCAACTACACATTCTGCAAATACTATGATGACAACATCCAGAGTAAACTCATCAGTAGTTGACACCAGCACAACGGCAACGTCTATGGCATCCAATATGGTTTCTGATACCCCACGTAGCCACATTACAGGCAACCAGAGCGGTCCTGGCTCTGGGCCTGTTTTCCCGGACGCTGACAAATCGAGCAGCACAGTGCAACCAGCAACAGTGAAATCCTCCGAGGCCCCCACGACAGCATCGTCAAGTGTAGTGCCAGGCATGGCTGCTGGAGTGGGAGCTCTGATCTTGCTACTTCTGTTAGTATTGCTTGTTGTGCTGCTGAAGCGCAGAGCCAAGATGGGATCATTCACTCTGCTGCGTCGAACACGTGTATCGGTGTCTCTTACCATGATGAACAGTGCCTTCCAACACATATCTACTCAAGAGGAAGATCATGAACTATGGCAGGGTGGCTCGGTGATGAATGTCTATGAAACGTCGACCACTCTGGGAAATCCCCGCGCCTCACTGGCTTTACGTACATGTGGTTCCAAGTTCAATGCCGATATTGATCAAGATGAGGCAGACGCTTATCTCAGGACCGCCGATGAGCTGAACATGTCCCGGAGACTTTCCACAGATACGACCGTCACGCTAATGTCTGTTCACACACAGAGCAGTGAAACAAACCTATCGGAATATAATGTCGCTGCCGAGTCCCCGAGCAATTCAGCGTCGAGTGATGCACATCTTCCGACAAAAGGAGCAGGTGACGGAGCGAATTTCCAACCCTCAGCAAAGCCTGCCAAGCGTACTCTACTGGGTCGAAAAGCATCAGTAGCACCTAGCGTTCCCATGGATCTGACAGAAGAGATATACACGTCACCAACACGCACACCTCTGGCCGCGTCCCGGGACGAATCATCACTGGATATTTCACTCAACACGCGATCAAAGTCAGGTCTTGCCAGCGACACATATGCCCTGCCAGTGGACGTCATTGCTAGTCACACAACCTCAAGGATGTGCTCCAGCACCTCAAAAATCACAGACACATCTGCTGATCTGCACACGGTACACATACACCCTGATGATGACTATTGCGCGCCCAAAGATGCTATTCACAAAGTCAAGAAGTTTTTGGAAACCGAATCTATTGACGTCACAGGCAGGCATGATTCGGCTGAACAAGCTGCAGGTGGAACCGCTGGTACACGGACGTCCGCGAATGATGACAAGACGAACACGAGCATGACTGCTCTTGCACAATCACAACCCACTGTCCCTTTGCAGCAGGGATCTTTAGGGAACGACTACCTGGAAGGCACCAAACACAGAAGTTTCGACCGGGAACTGGAGTTCCTAACAAATCTATTGCAAAGTGAAGCGGCCTCTGGAGACTCGGTAACTGGCAATCAAGGACTGCTGAAGTCGGATCACGTGCCCAGTCTTGTGACCGTCCACGAGGATCCAATCAAGGTCAGGCCGGTATCTGCATCTGATACTACTCTATGTCAAACGCCAACCGCTGGGACACATTCTACAGACGTTGTTTCCACGACCAAGGCAAATCCTGCCCTTGCTGGACAAACAGCCACTTCGGACGGGTGCAATGCAAGCCCTGCCGATGCTGTTAGGCTCTTGGCCACTGACGTGTATGCTGAGGAAACCTACCAGCTGCCAAACGATGCTGTGAGGAGCGTCATTGGAAACACGTGCAGAGATGACGCCGCCGCTACACCACGTGAGCCGACACAGGTTAGACGCTCAGAGAACAGGCCAACATCTATTGCTCTCTCAGACACTTCAGCTCAACAAGGTGTCTTGCTGGTAGAGGAATATACCTACATCATGCCGGCCGATTCCATCAAGCCGGGCACGGTGAAACACACAGCACAAAGCGGCATAACACCAACAACTGACAGTGATATGGTGACACACCAAGCAACAACAAGTACAGTATCAACTACTGACCCTGGAGCAGACATTGCGGACGCCTATCAACTTCCAACAGATATCAAGCTAGAGCAAGCAGCAGCCAGCAGGACTGACGAGGCTGGCTTGGATCCAGGTGACACCTATGCAATGCCAGCAGATGCAATAGGCGTGCGGAGTACACCTAAAGCAGAGGCACAGATCGTGGCTCCATCGATGATAGCAGCTCATAACCCAACTGATCCCACTCCCAGGCGAGAAGTCTACGCCCAAGTCCAACCCAAGAGTCAACGGATGCGAGAAACAGGGGATTCCAATGTGTCCTCGCATAGCAGTGGTGCAGGGGAACCCACCATTGCCACGCCATCAGTAGCTGGTGCCGCGCCACCCACCATTCCACGGAGGTACAGGAAGACATCATGGCATGGAGAACAAGCCGATATCGATATTGGCAACCAACAATACAAGAGCAGCAAATGGTCGAACATGTTTTCGCACGTCAAGCGCAAGATCTCAGCTGGGAGTGAACGGAGAACTGACATGAAACAGCCAGGTAGCCCCAGAACCAGCAGGCCACTACCGTCGCTACTGCCTGAAGAAGTCGCTCCAGGAAACCTGATAAAGAAGATTGACGATTCCAATGCACTGGCAGAAGAACCACAATACATGCTGTGTGGACCACAACTGATCTCGCAACTATCCATGCCCTCCGACACTACGTCGCTATCTAAAATGGCGGCAGCGTTGCCTGCCCTCCCACGGCGTAACACTGCTCCACCAGCACCCGAGGATGTGCTGGGCCCAATCTATTCCCTAGCAACGACCAGCACTCTGTCAGGCCAAGCCGCAACAGCTGAGAAAGCCCATGACAACGCCAGTACCAGCAGTTCGATCACACACGTGCACACATTCGAAAGCCACCTCGATCAGGAAATGTACGCAGAGCTGCAGGTACCAGATACACCACAGCGGCTCTTGCCGGCAACGGACAATACTTCACAGATCGACACCGCCATGCTACAGAATACCTCCAACGTGATCCCAGACTGCAGCTCAGAAGAAGTCTATGCAGAGATCGGAGTAGACAAAATCGACAAAAAATCTACGTCAAATGCCGATTCTTGTTACGCAGCGCCCGTCGATGCTATAGTGTCCGCATGTGCGAGCGATGGCACTCGTGGACAAGATGAAACATACGCAGCTGTAGTTGATGCCAAAACATCTGCTTGTGAGAGCGATAGCACTCGTGGACAAGACGAAACATACGCAGCTCCCATCGATGCCGTAACATCTGCTTGTGAGAGAGATAGCACTCGTGGACAAGACGAAACATACGAAGCTCCCCTCGATGCCAAAACATCTGCGTATGAGAGCGATAGCACTCGTGGACAAGACGAAACATACGCAGCTCCCGTCGATGCCATAACATCTGCGTATGAGAGCAATAGCACGCGTAGACAAGACGAAACGTACGCAGCTCCCGTCGATGCCCTAACATCTGCGTATGGGAGCGATAGCACTCGTGGACAAGACGAAACATACGCAGCTCCCGTCGATGCCATAACGTCTGCTTCTAAGAGCGATAGCACTCGTGGACAAGAGGAAACATACGCAACACCGCTCGACTCACTGAATATTGTGAAGAAGGGCACACCGTCCGAGAGCGAGGATACAGCGCACGCACATGCTGCCAACAGCCTGAAATTGGCCCGAATGTCACCCAGTTCCACTGCTGATACTGCAGGCAAAGCAGACACTGGGGCCAGTTCATTGGGTGTCCATGGCGTTCCAGTCGATGCTATCACCAGCGCACAGCCTGACGGCAAGACCACGTCGCTGCAGTATCCCGTACAGCAGGAGACAGCTAGCACTGCAGACACGTACCAGGTTCCTGTGGATGTGAAACAACAGACTACAGCAGCATCTGAAAACGCCCATCACAACGATCAACACCCCGAGTCCCCAGTGGTGCAAACGTGTTGCGACCATGGTGATCATACAGACACTCCGGCCGCTGACAGCAATGTATACGCCGAGATGATGCCTAGGGGAAAGCAAAGCAGAAGTGTCGTGGAGTAAACCGTGACACAGATGGTATCTACGTCAACCAATCACCTGGCCACGCACCCTCACACACTGCGGGCATTGAGAGAGCTGTATGCGATGAAGAACGGAGGCAGCGTAACAAGGAACATGAATAGTGATGAAGTACCCACAGTCTTGGACACAAGTAGTCTCGGGTGTCGGGCTTTGGCCTGAATATTTCACTTTGGTCACAAGCTACTAGCGTTTAATAGAGCACACCATTTTTTCACAGATATTGCAGACTTCCATATTACAACAATGCCCAGTTGAATTATTCCTGTGTATCACGATGCTCAATATCGCCAGGGTGCAGAGCTGCCTTACACAATTATTTTGCCCTTTGATCGCACGAGCATGAAACTTGAGTTGCAATGAAACATCCTCCAAAAATTTTCATAACATAATACATAAAAATATGCAAAGAATCATTAAAAGATCGCAATTTTTACATCACATTGCCTTTTCATGATTTACTTGGACATTTCCTACAGAATCTAAGGTCTTTAAAAATGTGAATTTATATGTCCTTGATACAGTTCCTATGCATTCATTGTGTTCATGCAGTCATTTTCTTTTTTGTCTCGTTATGCTCTATTGGGCAGAAGCATGTACAATAGATTTGTCCTTTAGACTCGGTTGGAGAGAGCCAAAGTCAGAAAAGACCAAACATCATTTTAACATGGCCACATTACCAATTCCGTCCAATAGGGGCACAGCTGGTCCCCATTTCAGGGTGGTGCACGGCTGTAGTTCACTGGCTGTACAAGTAGTTGTACTATCATAGTATGTATAATATGTGTAGGATGCCTGGTGCAAGTCATCATCGACATGGTTATTATGTGCATACTGAACCTAGGTCCAAACATTAAGGGGGTACACGCCCCCCCCCCCCCCTTGCCCCATGCGAGCTACGCGCCTGGACCAAAGTTGGCACCTTCTTTTCCCTGGGTGCCCCCCCCCCCGTGACAGGTGGTTCGAAATACCCTCTGTTCCTGGGACGTTGGGCAAATTCACAATTTGGACAAATAATATTTATCTGAAGAACGGTACTGAACGATGAGTCACAGTTTCCCGCAACTAAACAACGCATCGGATACAAACCAACTAAGTGTGCACAACGAGGCAAGTTACCTTGTAAAGTTTACTGCCATCAAACTCGGTGACCGGCGACTTGCTGAGTCCCTCGAACGAATCGATCAGTTGTCCATGCGGCCACTCCGCCGACAATATTCAAGGACTACTAGCAGCAAGCGCATCTCCTGAAATGTCCGTAGATCAGCACCAGAGTCTGCTACAATATGCCCCCAAGCGCCAACAAAGTGGTATCGAATAATAATTATAGCCATCCACTACAAAATAAGTAAAAATCACTTGGCGAAAAATTCCACTTGGTCTTTTGAACCATACAAAATAAATTCACTGACCATGTCATGCACTCCCGTAATCCAACCTGGCGGCAGGAAGCTCACAAGGAGCGCCGCCACGTGCCTTTAGCTACCGACATTGGTACAGAATTGACTATTCCTGTGCTCGCGGGAAACTACTTGAAGAAAGCCATCAGTACCACAAAGCGCCACTTGCTGGACTCTTAATGTAATAATTATTATCATTTTTTTGCATCGCAAGAGATTGGTAATAGTTTATTGTATTTTTCTGTTCTTTTCTCTCTTCTAAATCAATTCATATTCCCTTCCGACCACGGTACAGAGCCAGGTTCACAAACTAGCAATGTCTCCGTGACCTTCATTGTATGGTCGGGCGAGCATGTCAAATCTCACTACCGCTGACGTTGTGCTACGTCAACCATACACACACAATACTCAAAAATAATGAAGTTTGTTTGTACAATGAGAAGTCAAAGGTGCAGCAGTGATGTGACCAGTACTAAGATCTTGCACTTTTCAAGAGTGGCAGGAAGGAAAGGGGAATGAATGGCTGAATAAGCGCGTGTGCATAGCACGTCCTCAGATGGCGCTATTCTTACTTGTATTATTTTCACAAGAAAACACTTCACGAGAAAGTCCATTTTGACTGGGCTGTGATAGCTTCCTCTTTTGCGAGACACAATACCTAAGAAAATGGGAGACTGGCCAACAATAATTCATGTCGATCCTTCCAACAGTCCAAAGCACGACTATTTGCAAATCACAACCTCCGCCAGAACGATTCCGCTCAGGTTGTTAGAACGATGCCCTCCAGACAGCTGTTTCGAGAGGTACTGTACTCGTAAGACAGAGAATAATAGAATTGAACAAGAGTTTCGGAGACAGTAGTTTTAATATAGCTACAAAGACAACTAATTGCACAGTAAGCATTTCATATATTATGTCGACATGTAGATGTAAAATGTTGTACGATTGTCGCAAGGCACACAAAGAAAGGGAAAGCGAGGATTCGTTCGTAGCTATATTAATGATAGAATTTTTTTTTTTACTCTTTATTTTAGTTCTCACTTTTTGTAATACTTACCACAAGTTACCCGTCATGTGTCACACTTCTTTGGAAAGAATGTTTTGTTTTAATTTAAATTTCGGCCAGTCGGCTGCCATCATTTCGTCTTGGGGGTTAGACAAAGGGTTAGACAAGGGGAAGTAGCCATGTAGGGGCGTGAGCCAGCCTTTCGGCACTGGGAGTTGCAGCTCGCTCGACTTGACTCTACTGAGTGCAGAGGACCGACACCTTGATCTCATTCTGGTGAGCTGCGTCGTGGGGATTTCGTAGTAAGATGTACGACTGCCGGGCTCGAACCTGCGACCTCTGACATAATGTGGATGTGAATTGTGGCATGTTTGGTTGGTTTGGTTTTTATTATTTCAGTTCTCTACAGTACAAAGTAGATGTATAAATATCAAGAGGAAAGAACGAAAGGAGAAAGCAGAAAGGAAGATGCAACTGGACGAACGGAAGGAGAAAGTAAAACAGAGCAGAAAGGAAGATGCAACTGAAAGGGAAGAACGGAGAGAAACAGAGAAAGAATGTGGACTGGGCGGATTCATGAACCATTATATTATCTTCATGTCGAAATCCATTTTAACAATCCCCATATCTCTCCCCCTAGGGCCCTCTCTGTGTCTCTGTCTCTGACACACAAACTTTCTCTCTCTCTCTCTCTGTTGTTGTTGTTGTTGTTGTTGTTGTTGTTGTTGTTGTTGTTGTTGTTGTTGTTGTTGTTGTTGTTGTTGTTGTTGTTGTTGTTGTTGTTGTTGTTGTTGTTGTTGTTGTTGTTGTTGTTGTTGTTGTTGTTGTTGTTATTGTTGTTGTGGTTGTTGTTATTGTAGTTGTTGTTGTTGTTGTTGTTGTGGTTCTTGTTGCTGTTGTTGTTGCCGTTGCTGTTGTTGTTGGTTATGCATTTTGTGAAAGCTAGGACAATTCACTTGTGCAGGCAATAAAGCAGTCTCTCTCTATCTCTTCTCTCTCTCACTCTCTCTCTCTCTCTCTATCTATTTATCCGTCTATCTATCTCTCCTCTCGCATCATGCATGCGTCACACTCTCATGGAATTTTCTCTTATAAGATTGCATGCTTCACACTCTCATGTACTATTAGTTCCTTCCTTCGTCTTTTGTGAGAGCTTGGACAATCCACTTGTCCAGGCAAGAAGACAGCAATGCCTGTTCATTCTGGCGAAGTAAAATAAAATATACCAGCCAACCAACCAACATTACTAGAGCGGGGAAGACATGAACAGAAGGGGCAAGTCCGTCAATATTCATGTTTAAAAATCGTTGAAAGCCTTGTTTTATCGGTCAAATACATTTTCAAAAAGGAGGGGATATAGGGATATAGCCAATTTGTCTTCATTTAGAGTGTTCAAAGGTTCTGTCGAAAATGATTCAATGTCTTCAATTCGCTTCAAGTGAGCAGGTAGCATGTTCAGCAAATGGTACAATTGCGTATTGTATTCTGTCTGAAACTGAGGTTCTGAAAGTTAAACTTCGAAGTGACAGTTCTAAATTTTTGGTACATACCTTGCAACGCTCGAAATGGAGAGGACTATCTAGCATGGATACTAATGTGCATGCCAAGGTATTGTAGCAACAGGAATAATACAATCACACAGTGTTATTGATAACAACAGACATAAAAATCAGTTTTACAAGTACACTGGAAAAAGGCAGAACAAACCAAGTTACAAAAACGAACTCCTGGAACTTCGAGTTTCGTGCTCAAAAATACTTATCGGACAGTTTTTTGAATAATACGAAACTTGCACTTCCGGAAAGAATGTTAGTTTCCGTAGTTGCACCTTTTCTTTACTACCTTCTACCTCAGGCTGACCATTGAAACCTACATGTATTGCTGCGAGGCACCTAGACACTTAAACTTACGGTAAACGTGCCTTTGAATAAGTACACACATTAATCAAAGGCTGGATACTTCTGTTCCCATGTATGTATAGCAAATAAACTGTGGCCCGAACAGTAGGGCTTATCCAAATTGATCTTGCCTGCCTTCAGAGTCCTTCGTGTTCGTTAACAACTGCAAGTCACAAGTAGTAGCTCTCACAGTTGTAGCCATTTGATTCCTTTTCAGCCCAAATTCTAGCGCTGAAAACAATGTAATAGCAACACCAGCTTTCCGTATCGCCAGCCTCTGTAACTGATTGCTGGGAGTATTCATGCCTAAAAAAAGACAAGCCACCACTTGCCCTCCGTATTATTAATTGTGTGGAAACTCTGGCTACAGAAATTCGTAGATGCCCGTCTTGATGGTTTGCTAGGGAAAACGTGCTCAACTGATCTGGCTCGCTTCAGGTCTGCTGTAGCTGTGTGAACAGCTGTGCTTCAAATGAAACCACCTGAGCAGCAACGCACACATCCCAATAAGCGATTCACCTGCGATTCACCTGCGATTCACCTGTGTTCTCGCTGGTGACACATGCATTACCGACACATGTAGGACTTGGGAAGACGATATTTACTGTAATGACACCAAGACTAAGTCCTAGAAGACCGAAGTCTCGAACGTTGATAGACCTGAGAAAGAAGACATTT